TGGCTCCCACTGTCCTTAGGAGGGGCTGGAGCCTGTAGGCTGATGACACGCAGGTACAGTAGGCATGTTTGCAGGAAGGATCAGCCTGCAGGGCTTACTCAGAAACTGCTCTGCAGACACAGTGGGTTAAAGGGGTTTTTGTTGAGGCAGAGCAGATGGGCAGAGAGGCAGAGTTCAAATTAACTGATCATAAATCAGGACTGAGTTGTAGAGGGGAAAGACCAGGGCTGGGCACTTAAAAAATGGTGCTAATTTAAATTATTCTTTTTCTTATTGGGAGAGCAGCCTCATGCGTATTGTAAAATTCAGTACGAATAATTTAGAAAATACATACACACCAGAGAAAAGGTTAAATCTCCCCATATCCCCAGAAAGAATCACTGCCAGTCCTTTCAGTATAGTCCTTTTGATTTTATCCCCCGTCCTGGTGACCTACACACATATACACAGCCCATTATTATTTAATAAGAACGAAAACATGTGCTCCTCTTTGAGTTAGGTTTTAAGAGAAACTTCCAAGTAGGTCCTGAAGACCAGAACACAGGTGTGATTGTTTGGGTCAGGCCAGCAGTATAAATTTGGGTCATAAAACCGAAGACAATGTGTAAATTTATGTTTGGGGAAGTTGGGGCAGGCTCAGGTGAAGGAGAAGTTCATTGGCGCTGAGGGCCATGTTGAATTTACGATCTTCCAGTGATGCCCTGGCGGGCTCTCCAGGCGGAGCCCTGGGTCTGCGCCTGCCTTTGCTGCTGCCCCCTAGTGGAGCAAGAGACGTGGTCCAGGCAGTAAAGAGTCCTGCCCCTTAGCGCCATCCTTCCCATTTCTGGCGGATGTTCTCCAGTTAGTACATTGGCCAAAGCCCCAGGCATAGTGAAACGTGAGCTGCCTGCTCTCAGGGCCCAAGGCACTGGCTGTCGGGCTGAGCTCAATATCATGTTTTATGAAAAGGGTGCTCACTTAGAGGATGAGACACTCCTATTAGCAGAGTCTGGAAGTTCAGCTTGTCACCATCTGTTGGGTGCTTTCTAGAAGTCGGTGATGTTTGTTGTACGCAGATCTTTTAGTGCCAGTTCTACTCACCATTATGTAGGGTAGCCCCAAAGGTGCTGTGCATTGGGGAAAATTGGAAATCTTAGGGAGAACAGGTAGCTCAGTGTACCTTTCTGAGGCCAGGCCCGATGGCTCACATCTATATCCCAGCACTCTAGGAGGCCCGGGAGGGAGGATTGCTTGAGGTTAGTAGAAATCAAGAGCAATCTGAGCAAGAGTGAGACCCCATCTCTACTAAAGATAGAAAAATTAGTCAGGGATTGTGGCGGGTGCCTGTAGTCCCAGCTGCTCGGGAGGCTGAGGCAGGAGGATCATTTGAGCCCAGAAGTTTGAGGTTGCTGTGATTGAAGCTGACAAAACAGCACTCTATCCTGGGTGACAGAGTGACACTCAGTCTAAAAAAAAATGCACCTTTATTTATAAAATATTCATTACAGAATTTTACAAGTTATTCTTTATGTTTTGGGCACCTCTTTCCACTTGCTCATGGAGTCTTCTCTTCCATTCGTGTTAAAAATGGTCCAGAATATGTGGTATCTGTGGTTATGCAATTTTCCTATGGATTGATTTTTTTGGGACACACCGTAATGACAGAGTTTAATGAAGTACAAAAATCAAATCTGATCTTGTGGTTTCTATTAAAGATATTTGTTTTGATAGGAATGACTTGAATTAATTTGGAAAATCTCAGTGGTGGTGATTTTTTTTTTTTTTTTTTTGAGACAGAGCCTCAAGTTGTCACCCTGCGTAGAGTGCCATGGTATCACAGCTCATGGCAACTTCCAACTCCTGGGCTCAAGCGAGTCACCTGCCTCTGCCTCGCAAGTAGCTAGGACTACAGGCGCCCACCACAATGCCCAGCTATTTTTTGGTTGCAGCTGTCGTTGTTGTTTGGCAGGCCCAGGCTCAGGTGTATGTAGCTGGCACCTTAGCTGCTTGAGCCACAGGCGCCAAACCAAATTATTTTAATAGTACATGGCATTTAATTATGTTAAAAGTGTAAGATGTGAGAAATTGTAAAAATCTGGAGTTGTACACTTAGATTCTTTTTTCTTTTTTTTTTTTTTTTGAGACAGAGTCTCACTATATGACCCTCAGTGGAGTGCTGTGATGTCACAGCTCACAGCAACCTCAGATTCTTGGGCTTAAGCGATTCTCTTGTCTCGGCCTCCCAGGTAGCTAGGACTATAGGTGCCTGCCACAATGCCTGGCTATTTTTTCGTTGTAGTTGTCATTGTTATTTGGCAGGCCTGGGCTGGGTTCGAGCCCACCCAACTCTGGTGTATGTGGCTGGTGCCCCAACTGCTGAGCTACAGGTGCCAAGCCTCTTTTTTTTTTTTTTAAAGATAGAGTCTCATTTTGTTGCCCAAACTAGAATGCTGTTTTGTCAGCCTTACTCATAGCAACCTAAAATCTCTGTGTTCAAGTCCTCCTCCTTCCTTACCTCCCCAAGTCCCTGGGACTATAAGTGCCTGCCACAATGCCCAGCTAATTTTTCAACTTTTAGTAGAGCTGTTTTGGTTCCAGTTCCAACTCTTGAGCTCAAGGGATCCTCCTGCCTCAGTCTCACACAGAGTGCTTGGATTATAGGCATGAGCCACTGTGCTTGGCCTATACTCAGATTATTTCATAAGTACCTTTTAAGTTCTTTATAAGCTAAAGAAATTAAAGCAGGAAATCATGGGGTACAAACACTGCATGTTTACTGAATGAGTAGAAAAACAGAGAATGCCGGATTCCAGGTACTCAGTTCAGACTGGAGTGGTGGCTCACACCTGTAATCCTAGCACTCTGGGAGGCTGAGGCAGGAGGATCGCTTGAACCCAGGAGTTTGAGGTTGCTGTGTACTATGATGATGCCACTGCACTCTAGCTCGTGCGACAGAGCAAGGTCAGGGTCACTATTATTATTTCTCATCTCACTTGCCTGAATCTGTAAGTTAAATGGGACTATTATGAGATTCCAATAACGTAAAGATTTTGCAGTGTTGTGTCCTTGTGTGAGAACTGGGCCTGTTGTTGGAATAAAAGCCCCCCTTCCTCCCCAGGTTGCTGATAGTGTGTAGGCCGCTTGGCCTAACCAGCCACATCTACCTTTATCTCCCTGTTGCCCGCTCTCTGCACGATGTTGCAGGTCTTGCTGGGAAGTTCCTGCCCCTGGCTGTGTGCGTGCCGTCTGCCTCTCCCGCCATGTTCTCCCATCTCATGCCTCCTTGTCATCTGCTCTGGGTAACCACAGTGTCCTTCCTCAGGCTGATCCTGGCCTCAGCTCTTCTCGGAGTATGTTGATGCCCACCCCTCTCATTCACCACCTCTGTTCATTCATTATTTGTTTATTCCCACCCCTGGAATTGGAGTTCCTTGTATCCCCACCCCAGCCCTTAGAATACCTGGAAACAGCAGGCATTTGGTATACCTTGCTGACATCTTGAGTGAATGGTCAGGTGCCTTTCATATGGTGGGCAGGGTTCTAGGTCCTCCGTAGCAGGGGAATATTTCCCCCCTTTAACCCCAGGCTCACTGCCATTGTTTCATAGGCTTTTTACACTAACAGCATCTATCTGGCAACTGCAGCCCATGGACCAAATTCAGCCCTCTCTGTGTGACCTCTGTATGACCTGAGAACTAAGAATGTTTTTTATATTTTATTTATTAATTTATTTATCTTTTTTAAGAGATGAGGTTTTGCTGTATCGCCCAGGCTAGAGTGCAGTGGCTCAAACACAGCTCACTGCAGCCTTGAACTCCTGGGCTCAGGCAATCCTCCTCCCCCAGCCTCCCAAGTAGCTGGGACTATCAGTGTGCATCACCATGCCAGGCTCATTTTAATTTTTTTTTTTTTGTAGATTCAGGGTCTCGCTACGTTGCCCAGGCTGGTCTTGAACTCGTCTGTGCTCAAGCGATCCTACCACCTTGGCCTTCCAAAGTGCTGGGATTGCAGATGTGAACCACTGTGCCTGGCTATGTTTTATTTTATTTATGTGTAATATAAATGTACAATAGACTTTTAGTTATTTTGGGAGAAGTGGTCGAAAGGGTTGAGCACATTGCCTCTTGGCCTACAAAACCTAAACCGGTCCCTACCTGGCCCTTTACAGAACAAGCTCTCCCACGGCTGTGCCAGACTGGGAGCTTTTTTGAGAATGTGCAGACCACGTTACATCTTTGATTCCCCAGGAAGTGACAGCCAGGTGTTTTGAGTTGAATTGGACTTCGCCATCTTTATCCAAACTATGGAGTCAGACATGGGTGTGCGTGTGGCGATGGGATGCTCTACCTCTGAGAATTTAGGAGAAGGGAAAACTGTGCGGGCCTGTCTTCCTCAGCTGAAGCCCGGTGATGACAGTACCTTCCTATGTGAGCTCTTGCGAAGTTTAAATGAAGCCGTCAACATCTGTACAACGCTTGGCACAGAATTATCATTTAGTGTTAGTTTCCATTGTTTATTTGGATCAGCATCCAGTAAAAATATTACAATTTGATCATAGTCCTATAAACCAAACTATATAAAAATTACAAAGTAAAAAGTAAATTAGTCAGGTGGGATTAGCTTCTTCACTTTCGGTGGGGTCGAAAATTAAGAGTTGACTTTTTCCTTCGTGGTCTGACTCTTAATTTTCTTCCCCAATTCTGTACGTGTGGTTCCCCTCCCCAGGCCGGGCTGAATGAAATCTCTTACAGTGCTGATTTAGAAAAGCTTCTAAGTCACGGTTAAGACATGACCTTTCCTGAAGGGCATGAGCTATTCCAGTGCCCCATGTGAAGTGGAGATTTCATTTCTGGCCCGGTAGCTCCCCCAGGTGAACATTTTTCTTAGAGAGCAGGAGATAATGATGTCGAGGATGGTGGCTCATGCTTCAGGGTGTGCTGGTTTTGCGAGCTGGGTGCTCTCTAAAGACACGGTGGATTGAAATGAAGACCGTGATGTATCGCAAACCTATTGCTTTGCAGGGACGGTCAAAGTGAAGAGTTCCAGCATCCAAGTTGGAGATCTCATCATTGTTGAAAAGGTGGGTGGAACCTGGACGCTGGTTAATGTGTGTGTGTGTGCGCGTGTGTATAGGAAGCCTTTGCCATCACTCTCAGATCTTAATGTGGTAGACAGATGGAACGATGCATTTTGGGAGTTTGTCCCACAACATTGCCTGGGGAGAAACATCTCTTTCCTGTGAGAGAGGGAGAGAGAGACATACGCACAGTATTTTTCCAGTGTTTGTGGGTCTTGATGAGCCAGAAATCCTGCTTACAAACACAAGTACAAGTTTTGATTTCCTGTTTGATGTTTTGTTGGGTTTGGGGATTTTTTTAAAAAAGTATCATAAAATCTTTCCTGGAAGTCTGCTTGCTACGTAGACACTTAAATAAATTTATCTAATTTACCTTTTGGGTGATTTTAGCCTGCACGTTCTGACTTCACCACTGTGCTCGTTTGCCATTTTATGGGGATCAGGGGTTAAGTGTAACATGAGACTAGTAAAAAAGCCCAAAATGCCTGTTTAAAAATAGCAGGGTCAACATGTTTGTGACTTCGGCAAACACTCCTCTCTCTCTCTCTCTCTCTCTCTTACTGTTTATATTTGAAATGTATTAGATTGGTGGCGGGTAGTGGCCCTGGAGAGTTTTGGGGTAACACTTGATTAGAAAAGGATTGCATCTTAACTTGTTTCTGTATGAATTAAACTGCTCTTGTTCCGAAGGATTAAATCCAAAAACTCAAAGTTGATTTGAGGTGAGGTGAAACCCTTTGGGTGGCACCTCAAAAGGACTGCAAGGGCCCCCCGTGTTATCAGATACTTTTCTGTTCATAATTAAAGGTGGAGGCAGAACTGCTCCTGGCTTCCTTCTTTTTAAAAGAACGGCTTCTATTGCTTCTCACTTCCTATTAAAATCTCACTAAAAAGCCAAACAGCAACCTGGAGAATTGGTACAAGCAGAAGGTGTAAGCCGAGGGTCTGTCTAAAAGTGTCAGAAGGCAGCCTGGGTGAGAGGGAGGCAGAGGCCTGTGTCCTTGGGCTGGGATTTCAGGAGGTAATGGTTGGATTCGCCAGAAAACTCCGATGTTCTCTTTCCAAGATAAGATCTCCATAGGGAATGAGTGCTGTAGCAGCCTGTAGGACTTTTCAGATTCAAAACACAATAAATTCTCAAATCTGTCTTTGACAAAGGCAGAAACTGAAACGAGGGTCTTGGCCACTCCCCTTCCCCTGTGGGTCTTGGCCGCTCCCCTTCCCCTCCGAGGGTTCGAGAGTTCGAGGTTTGGGGGCAGAAGCCCTGCACACGGGTAACGTCAGTAACAGTCCTTCTTTTCATAACACAGAACCAGCGGGTCCCTGCTGACATGATCTTCCTGAGGACATCAGAAAAAAACGGTAAGCATCTGAGATCAATTTGGAAAATAACCATTAACTTTTCAGTGGTCATCTGGCAAAAAAAATCATTTGAAAATGCAACAGAAGTAGATTATCATTTTGGAGCTGCAGGGGTGAATCAAAAGCATCTTTTTTAATAGACCTGTTTTTTACAAAAGTGTTTTTGGTGCTTGCAGGTTCCTCACATTGCTTGTGTCTTATGCAGTGAACACAGAGCCTTATGGATTGGGGTCCTTGATAAGCTCTTGATTTCTTAAATTAATAAAAAGAAATTACCAATGTCCTACCTTAATAGACGCACTGTGGGTTGGCCAGGTCGAGAAACTAGCCCAGGATCCCACTGTGAGCAGAGGGTGGAGTAAGGTGAACTCAGATCTCTCTGACCCCAGAGCTTAGGAAGAAGGGGGAAGTAGTGTATTTATTTTCCCATGTGGTCACTGGCCATTGCTTGGCTGCTCTTACAGGGGCCACGGGAGGTGTCACCCCAAACTGCAGGGTCAGGGTCCTTGAAGCGCAGGTGACCACATGGTACCTGACTTTCTTCTGCAGGGTCTTGCTTCTTGCGGACGGATCAGCTGGACGGGGAGACAGACTGGAAGCTACGCCTTCCCGTGGCCTGCACGCAGAGGCTGCCCACGGCTGCCGTGAGTAGCTTCCCCCATAGAAGCCACCAGCAACCTGCCCTAGCAGGGCTCTCAAACTCGGGCGCCCTCAGGGGCCCAACCGGAAGGCCAGCTGTGCAGTGGGGTTGAAGGGGGAGCACGGGGTCCTGGAGAGCCTTGGGCACTGGTTGACTCACACTCATGTGGCCAGGCTGAATGTGGACCCTGTGTGCAGGGAGTAAGCTCTTTCAAGAGAAGCTCAAAACTGTGGGAGGCCTTATCAAGGTACCTTGCAAATTGTTAAAAGGTAGGTCAGAGAATGTCACTCCTCAGCTCAGAACCTCCAGAGGGGAGGAGAGGAGGGAACAATCCAACCTAATGGGCACTGTGAAGGCTATTTGGGTGACAGGCACACCGACAGCCAGGACTCAGGAAATATAAAGATGATTCATGTAGCCCTAAAACATTTGTCACCCCTTAATATTTTGAAATTAAAAAAAGAAGAAGAATACGAAGGTTGGGGGCTGGGGTAAAATGAGCTGGTTTGAATGTGTCCACCAGCGTTCACGTGTTGAAAACTTAGCAGTGTTGGGAGGCGGAGACTGATTAGAGGTGATCAGATCTCAAGAGTTCTGTCCTCACAAATAGATTAATGTCATTAACACTGGAGTTAGTGAGTGCTCACAAGAGTGGGTTTGTTCTAAGAGCAAATCTGGCTGATGCCTGTAATCCTAGCACTCTGCGAGGCCGTGGCAGGTGGATTGCCCTGAGCTCACGGGTTCAAGACCAGACTGAGCCAGAGTGAGACCTTGTTTCTAAAAATAGCCAGATGTCGTGGCAGCTACCTGTAGTCCCAGCTATTTGGGAGGCTGAGGCAGGAGAATCGCTTGAGTCTGAGAGGTTGAGGCTGCTGTGAGCTACGAGGCTACGGCACTCTATCGAGGGTGACAGAGTGAGACACTGTCTGCAAAAAAAAAAAGAACAAATCTGGTCCCCTCTTTCTCACGTGCTCGAGCCCTCTCTTGCCGTCTGCCTGGTGCCATGGGATGACATAGCATGAAGGCCATCTCCAGAGGTCAGCGCCATGTTCTTGGACTTTCTAGCCTCCAGAACCGTGAGAAATACGTTTCTTTTCTTTATTTAAAAACAAAGCAAAATAAAACCTTCCAAAAGCCAGGTACAGTGATATAAGAATGTAGTCCCAGCTACTTGAGAGGCTGAGGTGGGAGGTTTGTTGGAGGCCAGGAGTTCAGGGCTACAGTGACTTGTGATTGTGCCTATTAAATCGCCACTGCACTCCAGCCTGGGCAGCATAGTGAGACCCCCTTCTCTAAAATAAATAAAGTAAAATAACCCTCCAGATGCTTTTCTTCTTCTGGAGGATCGGTTCTGCAGCGCTAGCTCTCACCTTCAGCCTCCAGGACTTGTCTCTGCTGAGACTCCGACCTCAGCAGGTGGCCCTCTGCCCACCGGCCTCTTTGGAGGATGTACCTCTGCTTCTCGGTATCTGCTCCTGTCCTTTGCTGCACCTGTCGACCCTAACGCCTGCCTGGCTGGGTGTCTCTGGTGCTCCCTTGAGCTTTTAACATGTGCCTCTTTATCAGAGAGGTGTTTTCCGACCGCCCACTCCTTCCTCCCCACTCCGCTCAAGGCAGTGCCCTCGTGAGTGGGGACGCTCATTCCATGAGTGGGACGTGGCAGCTGCTGCTGTGCTCACCTCATGCGGAGTGAGGCTGCTCCTCACTGCATTCCCTGAGGGAGGCGCGGGCAGGTGAAAGTTCCATGTCTCGATGGAGCTGACATAACAATAAATGTGACCACAGAGCTAACGTTTTTCATGGCTAATAAAGAGTGAAATCGCACCATTATTACTGTTAATGTTTAATTCAGGAACTCTAGAGCAGTAGGTTTCTAACTCTAGTCCAGGGGCCCCTGGCAACTTTCAGAAGGCGTCATCAGGCCTGTGAGCTGGAGCTGGCCTAGCACGGGGGCTCTGATTGTGTCTGGGGAGTCAGGTTTTACTTCCTGGGCAGAGTTCTCCAGAGAGAGCTTCCTGATTCTCAACACGCTTTGAAGAATCCCCTCCAGAGACAGAGCAGAAGAGCCTGGGTGTGAAGACACCGGCATGCTCCACTGCACAGGTGGAGCTGCGTGTTACGGTGTCCGGTGTGTGCTTTGGAAGTGCTGCCCAGGTGGTTCAGGAAACACTCACTTTGCCTCTTGTCTGGCCTAGGCCTGGGCCAGGATTCAGAGGAAGGTGAGCTGCTGTAGTCTCTATTGTCAGAGGCCTCTCAGTCTCTGCTCTGTGGGACTCTGAGCTGGGAGCAGCATTTTAACAAAATTTTTGATTGTAAGGAATAAATGAAAAGGTTACCTGATTAATACACAATGTGTTTTTTTTTTTTTGGAGACAAAGTCTCACTTTGTGCCCCAGGTAGAGTGCTGAGGCATCATAGCTCACAGCAACCTCAAACTCTTAGGCTCAAGTGTTTCTCTTGCTTTAGCCTCCTGAGTAACTAGAACTATAGCACCTACCTGACGCCTGGCTAGAGTTTTTATTTTTATCAGAGACAGATCTTGCTCTTGCTTGGGTTGGTCTCAAACTTCTCAACACAAGTGACCCACCCACCTTAGCCTCCCAGAGTGCTAGAATTAACGGGTGTGAGCCACCATGCCCAGCCAATACACAAATATATTCTTATTAAAAAAACAAAACAAAACACCCTCAAAACCATAGGGAAAGCTATGGAAGAAAAAGTGAAAAGTCTTGAGGTAGAGGCTTCTACCTCAAATCTTATCTTCTTCCCTGAGAGGATTGTGTGAGGTCAGCAGTGGTCTTTCCAGATCTTTCTCAGTGCATTTATAAATGTACAAATGCGGACTTGTGTGTGGGTTGTGCTTTTTTTTTTTTTTTTTT